GACAACAATCTTCTACCCAACCATAAAATATTTCAACAATTTAGTTTATCTTTGGCAAAAAAGATTATGTAAATATTATGTTACCTAGTCTCTCACTCTTTCCTCTTTCAACCCAACTCCAACTGATCCACGAAATTAAACCTATATGAGTACCATAAACTATTAATTCTTTGGGATAAAGACAAATAGTCCACCAAGCAGCCACAAGCAAGCATGATTCAGAAGGACTTTTTGTCGACCATGAGAGTAAAGATAAAAAGTATGAGAACAAGTGCACGAGGGGAGAGGTATAAATCAAAACGCGGGTAATACTCGACGGAGTGGAAGCCAAAAAATCGACGTGAGAAGGTGATTGTGGGAGGTTATAATTGTTTGTTGTTACAGGGGTTACGCGAGATACTTTAGAAGACATTTCAGCCTCTGGAACGTCAGGGTCTAAAGAAACATTTGCAAGAAAGAAAGCCTGGGAATCAAATACGAACGACATCGATCAAAAGCATGAAGGCAAAGCACTTTTTAATGGGGAGAAATCATATGTTTTATGCATGAATTTGAATTTTGGCAAGTAAAAAAAAATATCTGGTTACAAGGTGTCACGGACCAACTACGTATTACATAATTAAAGTATTGCACGTGATTATCAAATATGTTTATTTAATTTCTATTATATACTAAGTTACATATTTTAAATAGGTGTCATCTTGTTGTTTTTAATACTTTCAGGTAAACGCAATTGATAATCTATTGATGAAACAGTATGTAAGAAAAACTAATGATAACTAGGAAACACATAAGAATATAACTTGCCTCCATTTTGCGTGATATATCTCACCCAAGGTAATGCTTGGTAACCACTCTTTTCAACAATTTTCAAGTAGCGAACTTGAATCCCAGACGTGGTGAAATAGGGTATTTCAAACTTGACGCCAATTGGTGGTTTTTTATCAGGGTCATCTACTGCATTTATTTTTGTAATTAAATCGTGATAACAATAATGATTATTTTTCAACTGTTTAATAAAAGACGTACCATTTTTTACTGAAGGCAGTCCGAAGTGTGCACGCATTAAAAATTCTTTGCCACCCTGGAATTGTTTGATTTTCCAAACAAGACAAGACTTTTCGGGTGCGTAATGAACAGAACCAATACTACTCTGTTATGATAGGCAACGAATTAGAAATCATTATTATTATTATTATTCAAAATGTTATATCAAATACCCTGAATTTTGGTGTATCTGCATCATCAGGAACAGGAACATATATTTCAACATTGTTCGCTGTAGAGCGTCGTTTGAATTGAGCCTTTGCCTTAATCATATATTCGATTCTAGAACCAGCATAACTTTCCACGAGTGCTTCAACCCAAATCAATGGTTTGACCTAATAACATAAATAATAAGAATAATAATTAAATATAAGATATTTGTCATGTTAGAAATAATTTATCTTGCCTGTGTATTTAATCGGTAGCTCATCAGTTCAAATTCACCATCTGGTGGTATAAATGAAATAGTACGATCATTCTCAAATCGAGATAATCGAACACACTGATGGAATTTCACATCTTCCATTTCAATGGCTTTCCCTCGAGAAGGAGATCGACCAGTACTTTCAAACATAACCTTGTCATTTAGTCCAAGTCTTAACTCGGGCATACCACTTAAGTAGCATTTCATCTTAATTATCCCGAGAATCTCACTACGTAGTACATTCCCATTTGCATTAACTAATAAATTTACGGATTCAATGACATCCAAAAAAACTTCATTTTTTCGATATTTTATGCCTTCTGAACGCCATGAAACCGCATTGGTTACTGCCATTGGTGGTCTAACTTGAATTTCCAATTTATGTGATTCTTGAGTTATATATCTATGTTAAAAAAAAAAAAACGTTATTTGTCTTATTAAAAACCCTCAGTTATATTAAATCATTTAATTTAAAATTTTACTCTTGTAATATTTTAGTTTCGGTGGTTTGAGGATATCCGAAATCCATCATTTCATCAAGTAATTCGTAAATAATGACAAAATTATCTCGAATGGATTCTTCTTCGAGTTCTTTAAAATATTCTGTAAAGACCTAATTTTTAAATTGCAATATTTTATATCAACGAATTATAAATCTATGGCATTTCATTATTTGGTTTCCAAGAAAAATACCTCGGCCAGTTTATGTAGGAATAGTAAAATCGTGGTTGCATTAGAATTTTTCTTTGTTAGGGCTAACACTATCAAAACAACATTTCGTGTTAAGAGATCCTGACGGTGAATGAAATTAAGTATACATCACAGCATATTTAGCTTTTGACAAAGGATACAGTATAGATTATTGTGACGTATGTACAAATAATTTATGCCCTCATGAGTGAAGCAGGGTGTTGGTGCTTGCTGTTCTTCCTCAGCCTCCAAAACCAGAGGCATAAATTTTTCTACAGCCGACATTGGAATGTCGCCACGATAATTACGAGAAATAAGGACTTTTCCTTTTAGATCCAACACAAATACTGCAGATGCCATCTCAAATAACGTTATTTGAAGTTGCCTTGCCCTTTTCTATTGCTTGATCTTTGTCAAAATTATTGATACGTGGATCAAATCAGATCGTGAATTAACAACGATTCAGGTTCTTTTTTTAGTAATTGTGATTCTTTTTTTCACTAACAATTAAAAAACCATTTTCTTAGTATATATTTAAATTTTTACAATCAATGTTGTACATGGGACGGATAAAATTGAGGGTCGATAATTCAAAATTTTAAGATAACTTTTTCAACTTTTTTATTACAATGGGCATGTATTTGTTTAAATTTTTTTTTTTTGATTCACACAATGGCCTTTTTTTTTTTTGATTTATAAAAATAAGACCCTTCTAATCCTAATAAGAATGTGGCCTTTTTTATGAACCAACAAAAAAAGAACCCTGTAAGTCCAAAATATATAAATTTTAACTAATTAATTTAGTAAACTTTTTTATTTTATAATTCTCTAAGTAAAAATGTTCTACGCCCTTTCCAATTGATATTTATACCCCCCATTTTTGATATTCGTACCCACTATTAAACAAAAATGCTTTAAAACAAAAGTTGTAATCTGAAGCAAAGTTGTTTCTTAGACTTTTCTAATTCTAATAATAATAAAATTATTAAATTTGGTTTAGAAAGTCTTGAGTTATTTATATTTTTTTTTTTTTTTTATTAAACTAGCTTCTTTGGGTCTCAAAAGTATTGTTGAGCAGGGCGGTTTCAAGAATCTTTTTACATTAGAGAATATACATAGTACTAATTACATATATATTTTTGGTATCTATTTTAAATAGTTTGCCTATATAGATTCTATACTAGATGCTTAAATTGCTGGTTGATCAAAAATTCATTGGTCAAACTGGTCTGGTCAAATTGGTCAAATGGTTTGATCAAATTAGTTAAATGGTCTAGTCTATTAAACAAATAAATTTAGTATACAAAATAAATAAATATAATATATAAATATATACTTATATATTATATGTTTAAAATATTCTTTAACTAATTTGATTAATACTAAACTCTTTGATCAACTGGTTAAACTGGTCAAACTGGTTTGGTCAAGCTTGACTATTGACCAGTTCATACCAACTCTGTAGATGCTATATCTGCAATTCAAACTATGAGTATTGCCTATTTAAATTTTTTGTAATACAATTTTATTTGTATTATTAAAACAATAAGTTAGTCAAGAAAGTTTTAGATTTTTATCTTTCTCTTAAAACTAACAGTATAATTAACTAATTTATCTTTAAAATATTATTTGCTAAAGCTATTTATAGTATTATCTACTATTAATATATAACTAGTTTTTTTTGGTAATTTATATTAAATTTAAGAACAAGTATTTGCAAACCATTATAGTTATTATTATTACCTATTTAGCTCTTGTAGAGTTTATTCAAATCCTAGTACTTCTTCTTTAAGACAATCTAATACTTTTTTTTTCAGTATCCTTTAGCTAGTTTTTTCAGATTACTAATTCAAATAATTCAGAAAAGACTTTAGTTCTATAGTATTTATTGATTCTTTTTCTTTAATTGATGTTGTAGCAGCTTGGTTAATAAAGCAACTTGTTGGATGCTTTTGTTTCATTCAGTTAACTAACTTTAGATAAAGCTTATTCTAGTAGTTATTGTCAAAAGTTTATATTAAAATTTTGCCAAATAGGTGTCTTTTCAGTTCTTTATATGCCTTTATAACTTATACATTGTATAAATGCTTTATAATTTTCTAATCTTGTTGATATTACCAAAGTTACAGAGATTCTATTTTAATTAAT